GCTACTGTTCCGTCACGCGTTCCCGGCACCTGTCGGAGAATGGAGAACTCTCTGCGAGTGTCGGCCGTCTCCATCAAAGGACGCTGTGTCGTCCGTCCGGTGGGACTACAGCTCTACCTTGTCTCCATCGCTTTCTATTCGTTCTCGACGTCACTTCCCAGTTGGAAATCCTTGCTGACGGCTACTCTGTTGCGCGTTGCAGCTGCACTTGCGCGTGTCTTGCATTTTGATGGTCTGCCGACTGCGGCGAAATTAAGTCAGCCGTCAGATGTTGTTACGCACTATTTCTTGGCGTGCAGGTGGGCTGCAGTTGGAGGAATAGCTCTGATAGAGGTCCACTTTCTCAGTCGGCATGTCTCCTGAGATACACTAGTCACGGCGGTCACTATCCTGGCATGCGGCCATCACGAGACTGTAGCGTGACTGTCACGACTCACGATTGTTACGGCCAAAGTCGTTACGCTGAGTATTTCTGGGGTTTGATCGGAACGGTCGGTGTGTGGTACCGGAACGCGCGAGAGTTGCTGTGTTAGGCCCACCCCCACACGGGTGCGTTTCTCATGCAGTGTGTTGCGTGGCGGTGCGTAGCGGCACGGTGTCTGCTGTATGCTACGGCTAGTCTGCTGCGTTTCTGGCCTGGCACTGATGACGTCAATGCATCCATCGAAGTTTGAACGCCAGAGGCCAAGTTACGGACGGGTGGGAACCGCTCATGTTTCGTCAGGAGGTTGTCTATTAAAATATACCGTTTAAGTTCATAGCGCCGCCCGACTTCCTTGCCTTGAGGTGCCAGCAGGTGTGGGTTTCAGGCCCGTAACTTGAGCAGAGTAAGGCAACTTTGACGGCAGTGTTTCGATCTGGTGGCCGAATCGAGTCGAAACTCAGGCAAAGGAGCGAGTCAGGAAGTCATCATGCTTCATATCAGCACCGTACCGTAATGACGTTTGGTGGAAAAGGATGCAAGTGAATCTCAATATTTTTTTCACAAGCTGGTTAACCTATTATCTTATAGCCTGACGAGGGTAACAGTAAATGAAAAATGATAACAACTGAAATATTTGAGCTCAACTCAACACGTATATGCAAGAAGATAACGATGCATTATTTATGTGCATTACGTAATGCTCATCCCGCTTGCCATGGGGCGTTGGCGGCGAATTTATCTAGCATAAGCTGCCGCGATCACTAAGCAGAAATGCGCGTAGGTGTGCCTAACCTTTATCCATTACGCTGCTGTCGAGACCGGGACTTATCATGACACACAGAGGCAAAAATATCCGCTCAGACGTCACATTTCTGATGTCTTATGCGCCACAATGCGGTGGGATTTGCCGTTGTTCTGTGCACTTTATTGTCTGACAGACCATACCGCAGAACGGACTTCTGTCGCGTCTTACCGAGTCCCACTGGCGACTGTCTAGGGATCACCCGCCCGTGGGAGTCGAGATGACGCGACAGGGCGGCGGCGGCGGTGACGGCGCGGCGGCTGCGGCTATTGTGGCGCGGTGACGGCGAACAATGGCGTCTGACCGATGACGCCCAGCCAGACCAGTAATTGGCAGCGACCGATGACGGTGGAGACCGATGACGGCCCGGTGACGGTGGGAGGCCCCACATGGAGACGGTGGAGGGACGGCGGTGGGCAGGTGGGACTGGTGGAGCCAGGTGGGAGCCAGTGACAGACGGTGGCGATAAGACGTCAATGGTGTCGGAAGTCAACCGATCGCATGGTGGCTCTGGATTATCTTTCATTGCCGCCGCATGGGGAAATAGTAACGAAACCTATGCAGTCACTAAGACATGTAAACTGAAAAAATGTGCTAACTCATTGTTAGCACCCAAAATTTCACCATAGTATGATATCTACGGCAGGATGAATAATGTTAAACGGTGCAGCTCAGCAACAGGTCATACATTATCCAATCCATTTTCAGTTCCTATTTTGCATAGATTTAAGCCGCAGTTGAGTGAAAACTCACATACCCTGTGCAGTTTGATGGACTGCAACCTATAAATAGACGCGCTCCGCCCGATCTCAGTCTTGCAGCCCCTTTACCCCGCGCACGCAGTTCGATTTCGTGTGTCTCGGTGCGTGCGTTCACCTTGGCTGGCCACCCCGGACGGAGAAAGTGGTCGGCAGCTGCGGCACCCGTTTACTGAGAGCCTCGAGGCGGTGAGCCGTTCGGCTGGCGGCCGGTCGCGTCGGTCTGCCGAGGACTGGGGATGGCTCAATGGGAGGACCAGAGACTTATCGGCTGACCGGGAGGCAGAGGACCAGGGCGGCTTATAATGGGCTGGGTGGGAATGAGGACTCTGCCTGCTGGCTGCGGATAGACACTGACCGGATGAGCTGAGGATTGAAGATAAAAGGTCAGGTGGTGGCTGGAGACTATAGATACGAACCGGACGGGCTTTGTCTGTCTTTGGAGGTTGGCGGTGACCAGAGGCAGCAGCATATGATAGGCTTGGCTGGCCCGCTGGCTGCCCACTACCTATACACACGGATGTGTTGGGCTGATGGTTAAAATAAAACGGGGACTGCAATTACTTCGAATTAAAATAGATAAGAGCAAAGAAGAGGAAACGAGGGAGAGAGGAAATGAGAGAAAGAGAGTAAAGATAAGGGGAAGAGCAATGGAAAAGGGGATGGTGATAAAAGACGAAGAAAGAGAGAGAGGGAGAGAGGGAGTGAGAGAGAATTAGAGAAAGAGAAAGAGAAAGAGAAAGAGAAAGAGAAAGAGAAAGAGAAAGAGAAAGAGAAAGAGAAAGAGAAAGAGATAGAGAGAGAGAGAGAGAGAGAGGGGGGGGGATAAGGGAGAGAGAAAGAGAGGGAGTCTGTGCGACACCGTGCCGAGCCGGAACTGTGTCCGTTTTCACCCGCACGGCTGTGCGGCGGTGTCCACCAGGGCCGACCGGTGGCCGCACGGGGACAGGGGACACATAGAACGGGCTACTTGGCGAGGAGGGGTGGGGTGACACAGGGAGCCGACCGGCCGGCAGCCGGATGTGTCCATAGAATGGTGTTACCCACCTTCAGCTGGACCGCAGTGAAACGATGTGGTCGGATGATCGACACTTTTGTTACGGTAGCTGGCTCCGTTCTGCGGTAAACGGTCACCGTTGGTAATTGAGTTGTCCGTGGTAGTGTCTAGTAGTGCTTTGACGTGGGATGGTTCTCTGGTCTGCAATTTTGGAGATTGTGGGTTCGTGGTACCTAACAGCTTTAAAAAAGCTTCCTGGTTACGTTTCCCGGCCATCATCTTGTCACTGTTCCTTTTTGCGAGATTTGCACTAGCATCAAGTGAAACATAAATCTGTAGGCACTTCAAACGCCCGCCCGCTCGTCCCCGAGCGACTTTGGGTTATCACTCGTATCTTTACGAAGCACCAAAATATCACACAGCCTGGTCTTCCCGCCACGGGCCGTGTGTAATTTGATGAAGTCTGCTCTCACGGGATATCTGGCTTCCATCGTCGCTGCCTTGTCTCTGCCACCGCCGCGCTGTTGCTCGGCCGTGGCAGGCGACACGCGTCCGTCTATGATGAGACTCAGTCCTGCGGGAGGACCGGTATTTTCCAGATGAGTTTTGGTCCGGGAGTGCGGCCGGAAGCTCAGGGCGGCGGCCGCTGATGAAGATAGGAAAGTCGATCATTGATCCCGGGCCACTGGCCATCCCGCCGCGGGATCCCGGCAATTCGATCAGCCGGTACTGACAGCACGGAAGGGCGCACCGTTAGGGGCTCAGTCAGTGCCCGCTCTCGATCCGCTCTGGCGTACATACCTCTGCTTCTCCCAGTGCGCACGCATGCAAAATCTGATGATCTTGCTTGTCCGTCGTTCATTATCCTTTCCGCCGTATCATTGTGAGACACCTGTTTAGTCTCATACTGCTAGAGTAGGTACTTTGAACATGGATTACCAAATGCACAGCCTAAGCTCATTTGGCTGGTCCCATTGATGCGTATTGACTTTTGGCGCGTTATTTGACCTTGACTAGTGTCTAGTGAAGTGTGATCGGCTATCATACACCTACCTGACGTAGATTACATATCTGACCTAGATAACCATAAACCACATCTCGTAACGTAAGAAAGTCTCATCTAACTTCCGGTGCCCTCTGGAAATCTCCTTCCATTCAAAGTCATCAGCTGTTTTCATTCACTGGTTAGGTTATCCTCATGGCATCAATTGAGATTACTATCTGTGGCGTTTAAATTGGTGAGATCCGTCTTGGCTTTAGCTCTTTTATTGTCCGTCTCACGTCTGTGACTAGCCCTTGATAGTTGATCTCTGTGGACATGACCTGACCTCGGATGTTCCGTTTTTTTTTCTGACGGAGACGCGTTTTCTGTCGATCTGGTCTTTCTGTCGAGCTTGTTGATTTGACCGTCGCTCGTATCTGCATTTCGTCAGTTTACTCCTGTTCGTCTCTGTATTTATCTGACCTCTGTCCGTCTCTGTGTCGAACTGACCTCTGTCTGTCTCTGTGTTGATCTGACCTTGGCTTGTCTCTCTGTTCCTCTGAGCTCTATCCGTCTCTGTGTTGATTTGACCGTCGCTCATCTTTGTGTTGATCTGACCTCTGCTGGTCTCAGTTTATCTGGCCTATAGCCTATGCCCGTCTCCCTTCCTCGAGATCCTCTGACCCCTACCTGTCGCGGCTGCTGTGACTGTGGCTGCCTCGGTGTTACTCTGACCTCTTCCCGTCTTGGTTCCTCTGAGCTCTGTTCGTCTATGTGTCGAGCTAACCTCTGTCCGTCTCGGTGTTCTGGCCGTGACCGTCTTTGGGTTGATATGACCTCCGGTCGTCTTTGTTGATCTGATCCCTGTCCATCCCTATTTCCCTGACCTCTGGCTGTCTCTGTTCCTCTGACCTCCGCCCGTCTCGGCTGCTCTGACCGTGACCGTCTCTGTGTTGATCTGCCCTCTGCCCGTCTCTATCGCTCTGATCTCCGCCCGTCTCAGTATTCCTCTGACCGTGACCGTCTCTGTGACCCAGCAGATGAGCGGCAGGCGGGCACCCCCGGACGGCCGGGAGAGTCGCCTCTGGCGGCACACTCGTCGTCTACGCTCGACCGTCGCTCCATGTCCAGTCTGCCAACCTCTGAGCCGGACGACGACATCGACCGACTGGTGGCGCTCCACCAGCAGCGATCGGCCACACTCTCCACTCTCGGAGTGAGTAGGGAACTCGTCACACTCGGAGTGAATAGGGAACTCTGCGTGAGTTACGAGCCAGCAGCTCTGAGAAGGTTATATTTGGGTAGTCGCTTGGTATCACCTATTTTCCGTTTTGCTAGATAAAAGATTTTATTATGACCCCCCTCCCCAGTATTTGCGATTCGCTTGTCTGTCTCGCATCTCACCTGACATCCGACTCACCTGTACAACCTCTGTTTCTGCGTCCTGTGAACCCACCTTTAGCAGTAGGATGCTGGACAGGGTGCGTGGAGCGCGTCCCGTTATCTCCGGAGGGTATCACGCACCCACCACTGCCGGCGGGCTGTGTCTGTCCAGTAATGACTGTTTACGGCACCACGGACACCAACAGCAGGTGCAGCAGCACGCGGCATAACCTCCGTTCTAGTGACGAGTGGGCCGCTCCTTATGTAGTCAGAGGCCAGCCGAGCTCGGCCTAACTATGTGGAGGTCTGAGAAAGCGCGATTGAAGGAATTTGGCAAGATTCTTCCAGCCAATGTCGAGTTCCACATGGTCACATTTAGCCTGTAGGTATTTTTTGTCGTTATAGCGTACGAGCATGGAGCGGATTGCGCTTTATGACTTTGTACGTACTCTGCGAATATGCAGAGCAATACCATGATTTATATAATTTGTCTATGATAATTCATGCCTCATCCCTGGCCAGTATTAATCATCCCTGTGTGGATCCAGCTGCTACGAGTACGACGGCTCTTTATCCTGGTGCAATTAACATCGCCAAATTACCTGGACTAGCGTAATGCAGCGGATATCGTGCAGGTCAATCCCCTCATTTGCTATGTATTTTTTTCCGTCGTACAACGCTTGATGGAATAAGCCCATGAAAGCTTTGTCAAAGCCTGATGCAAACATTAAGGAATTACGGCTAGTCTAGTTTCCGGCTGTAATTTTATTTATATTTCCTTTGCTCTTTTTTGTTAAGCGAATACATTTTCCCCATGCCTGAACATCTACGGCTGTCGCGTTCTCAATAAGCATCCTCCTGCGCTTATCACCTTTTTTCACTGCTCGCCATACTTTGTGAAAATCTCCGCGGCACGGTCTGCCCTTAAATGATCTTCCACTTAACTTTCTGCACCTGCAAGCTGTCAGCCGCCGTGACCTGACCTAAACACCTATTCATACTGACACCTTTGTGAGAAAGTGAGACACAAGATTCGGAGGCGGCATGGGTGACACTACGAGTTTAGGGTGACGCGGGGCAGAGACGTCTATGCGCTTTGTCGCAGGTGGGTTCCGGCCCGCTGCGGTGCTCGTTGACCTTGACCGATATCGTTCAGTGGACAGGAAAGGGCAGCGGCCCGGTGCAGGTGGCGGGTAACCCGGCAGCGCAGATTGTGTACCTATGGTGTATACAGCCGCATTGATAGAGAAATGGTAGTGATGTATGGTAAAATCGCAAAGAAAGGCGGCAGAGTCGCAGCATGAGTAAAATGATGGGAAGCCGAACATTGAGTACCACAGGTTGAGATGGATAATTTATTAAAGCTTCTTCGTCTGGTCTTTTGTGTACACCCTGCATTGCGTAGAAAGACGCTGAAAATAAAACTAGCTTTTCGTGTGCGTGCCCCTCTGCTCGTAGGTATGTTTCATGGTACACTCTCCTATTGATGAGCTAAATAAGAATATCGGGATTTCTCTCACCATTATCGATTTATTGAATTGCTTGTATTGTGTCGCCCGACTGTCGTCGCCAGTTTATGTCGTTATTTAGCTACCGGTGAAGGGCTCGCCCCTTATTTGACGATACTGACCTCTCAATGCACGAGGATCTGGCCTGAGCGGTGTCCCGTCTGTTTTGATCTCCCGTGAACAGAGCAGGGTCACTCGATGTCGCGTGACCTCCTGTGACCTTATTTATTTAACCCACATTGTCATGTCGAGACCTGACCTTCGGCTGCACTTCTCGGAAGTGTGCAGAGTAGCCTGTGAAATATTGAGCTTCAATCAGTCCAATAATGAGAGCTGCAATGCTTATACCGAATTCCCCAATGCGCACAGTACGCCGTGTACATTGTATCTACTCTGTGTACTCTAACCCGTACCTGCCGCCCCGTTCAGTCCCGCAGCGACTCGATGGCCAGCGTGTACTCGGCCGGCGAGGCGCGGTACGGTACGGTACCGGTACGCGGCGACCTGCAGCTGGCACTTCAGTACAACTACCAGCAGAGCGCCCTCGAGGTCACCGTCAAACAGTGCAGAGACCTGGCCGCCGTCGACACCAAACGCAACCGCTCCGACCCGTGAGTGCAGGCTGGCATTATTTGTAACGTAATTAGACTGGTGTTTTGTATCGGTGTTGTGGGCTATTTGCGAATAGTGTGCTCTGGTTTAGATGTGGACTATGCGTTGAATGGCTGCCCGTCTGATGACTGCTAATCGATTATTCTGTTCGGTGCCAATGGTGTTTTTATCGTCGCCCTTATACCTAAATTTTGTTCTGATAAATGTTAAGCACATAATTTTGACATAAATTACCATTCTAAGATATGGACATTGGACACCATTGATGATTATCGTGGTTTGTTGATTGGGGGCTATGCCTTCGATTGAATTCCTAAATAGTCTGATGTTATCGGTTTCCGTGCTTTTTTACAGCTACGTCAAGGCGTACCTGCTGCCCGACCGATCAAAGAGTGGCAAGCGGAAGACGAAGACCAAAAAGCATACCTTGAACCCCATCTTCGACGAAACGTTGAAGGTGAGAACCGTTTTATGAGACTTCCGTTAGGAAAAAACGAGCTTCATCGTATTTAGCTCGTCACGTGCGCAACGTATCGCACCCAGCACGGGGACATCAGTCGATTTATTATGATTGTGTGATGACAGTTACAGAGATAGCGTCCCACTCGGCAGACGGGTTGGCATGTTTTGTCGATAGGCAATACGGTTCATAATATATTGCTCGCCCCGAATAGTTTTCCAAAACGGTAACTGCACCGTGGTGAACTTCGCCATTGGCTTTATCAAATTTGAAACATATCGACTTATTGAGCATATTGAAGTAAAAGTTCACCTTAGGGGAGTTTTCCCAACATAGATATCGCCAGTTGGGGCATTTTTAGGCCCTCGCCTACACGTTTCAACAACCACGCCAAAAAGTAGCCGCTAATGTGAAAAAATTCAGGCTGACTGATATCACTAAATGCGTCTTTTTCGCGTGGCTTTCGAAATCGTGGGCGACTCTTTACCAGAAATAGCAGCATCCGGCGATTTCACTAGCTCATCAATTGATGAAATTGACCTCAGAATCAATTCTTTGGCGTACAGTTGTCTTTCAGAGGCCAGAATTTATCTCTACTCACATCTTTTCTGATACAGTGCCTCTCAATTAAAGTCGACCAAGTATGACCTGTGGTAACCATACTCAATCAGCCATGATCCACCCACTGACCTGGCCTTTCGTGACCTATAAGTGATATGTTGTGACCTGCCAATGTCATGAGTCTCATGACCCAAGTGACCATCTCTGACCCGTTCTGAGTTATCCTGATCTATCGTAGCCCGCTGTGATGTGTCCTGAACTATCGTGGTTCGACGTAGGCCCCTCCGTGACCTGCCATGACCTACTGTGACCTTGCATGACTGTTACTTTCCGTCACACTTTTAGACCCGATGTGGGTCTCCATGGCCTGTTGTGACCTGTCATGACCCTTCGTGGCCCTCCTTGACCTGTCATGACTCGCTGTGACCCTCTGTTTTCCACCGTGACCCCCCTCCCCACCACGACCCTTCGTGACCCTCTATGTCCCTCCGTGACCCTGTGACCCCCCTGTGACCCCTCTGTGACCCCCTATGACCCCTCTATGACCCCTCTGTGACCCTCCTATGACCCCTGTATGACCCTCTGCGCCCTGTCGTCAGTTCCCGGCCGTGGAGGCGGAGCTGGAGAGCCGCACCCTCTGGGTGACTGTGTGGCATAGCGACATGTTCGGCCGCAACGACTTCCTCGGCGAGCTGGTGCTACCCATCTGCCGGACACTGTTCGACGACCCCAGTCCGCACTGGTACACACTGCAGGAGCGGGTACGTACGCAGGAGGTACCCCTGGTACACCCTGGTACACACTGGTATACACTGTAGAAGCGCGGGGTACGTACGGAGTGGGTACTCCTTGGTACACACCGGTCTGTCCGGTACACACTGAATGAATGGGAAGGTAAGCGAGGTATTAGCCGGAGACCAAGCGTCAATCATTACTGGGTTGTTATGTTGCGCTAGTTAACGAGAAATCCGTTTTGTTCATGTGTTTGATAAAGGAGGCGGTGCTCGGGAATTTCAAATCGAGACAGACGCTCGTATGAGACAGTGATATCGTTCCTCCTTCACGGCACGGATTCTAACGCAGCACCTAGTGCCTCTTAGTACAAAGGATGGATAGGAAATGGAACGCTAATGTAGTTCCTTATTCAATTTAGGCATAGAGTTCAGCTCGAGATTTTAAAGTTCGAGCAAATGTTACTAACCCTGTCGTCGCATAGCAGAACCGTGCGATATTTGATTTTGTTTGAACTTATTTACTGGGACTATTAACAGGTATTTTTTTCTTTTTTGTTGGGTTAGGCCCTTTCGGCTGGCAAGACCATTTCAGAGCCGGGAGGATGATAGGATAAAGGGGGAGACATTGGTCTGGGCAGGCATCCTAGTGAGTCGCCGGGGCTGAGCCCGTCCAGAGGACAGGCCACTCAGCCCCAAGGCACTCACTGCACCCGGCTACGGGATGCGCTCCCTCGGGAGCAGCGGTACCGCTCCAAGGGAGCAGCCCGCATGAGATAAAGTTGCCTGTCCAGCCCGGAGGGGGGGGGGGGGGGGGTTGCGGCGTGGAGGAGAAGGATTTCAGTTTCCTGAGGATAGAAGCATGGAACGGCGATTAACAGGTAGTTTTATTGATTACGTTTAAAAAGCTACTCGAGGAGTCAGTCGATCGAGTCAGTTGAGTTATCGTCATCGTTTAGGTATATTAAATCGACTTTTCTGCCACTTGGTTGCATTTCCAGCCCAATGCTCGCAGACCAGTACGTCAATGCCGCGTGTGCCGTGTATAGTAGTAACAGTTAACTCGTAACCACCTAACCAACGCCTACTGCCTGCTGTGTCCAACAGAGTGAGATCCAGGAGGAGAGTCCCGGCCACCGCGGGGACGTCATCGTCGCCTTCAAATACACGCCGCCAGATGGCAGCCTGGGCCGAAAGGGCCGCAAGACCAAGGGTCGGCTGCACATCACCATCAAGGAGGCCAAGAACCTGGCGCCAGTGCGTGCCAACGGCTCGGCTGACCCCTTCTGCAAGTGGTCAGTAGGGGGAGGTGGATGGGAGGGCTACGGGCTATTGAACGGTGGCACGCTAGAGTGGCCGCTAGGTGAAGACAGTCGTTTGTGTTGTCATGACAGTCGTGTGCCAATCATATGAAAACAGATGCATGATATTTTCATCGTTACCTTGCGAATATACGCTCGGTTATAATATAACAATTCTTAGTCATTACTTTAGTGAATATACGTGCATCGTGTATGTAATTCACATTACGATGTTAGAGCACTATGAAAGCACCGTGCAAACTGTAATATCGAAGTTACTATAACGCGTCCCTCGTCCGCAGCTACCTCCTGCCGGACAGGAAGAACAGCAAGCAGAAGACGCCGGTGGCGAAGCGGACCACGTGCCCTCGCTGGAGCGGCACGCTCACCTACGAGAACGTCAGTCTGGGAGAGCTGCGTGAGCGGGCGCTGGAGCTGACCATCTGGGACCACAGCCTCACCTCCAACGAGTTCCTCGGCGGCGCCCGCTTCAACCTCGGATCGGGTGCGTCACAAATACAGATAACAAAGTATTAATAGATATTGACAGATACATATTGGCATATATACAGATATATAAAGTATATATCTACAGATTGATATAGATTGATCCGACATCTGATGGCAAAGAATCTTAGTCGGGGCAAAATATTTTACAGGGTCATCTATTGCCAGCGAGCTGTTTATGATAGCTCGCCTGTGCTTGATGGAACCATTGTGCGTTCATAGTTGCTCATCGGATGCTTTGAAGACATCGCTTTGATACAACTCGGGCTCAGATTCAATCGTTACCGGATGCTCACCTGAGCTTGTTTTTGCCTGGCAACATCTGGCAATGTCATCTGGATGCACTGCTCTAAGTGGATGTCAGCAGAGAGATTTAATGGGAAAAGTTTGTGGGCGACCCTGCAAAGCTGTTTAAACTTGCGCTAGGCTTTGCGTCGCTAATTTCATCGCTAATTTATTGAAGCGATATGTCCTCTCTCACACTCACAACTTACCTCGTTGCGCTTGCCATGCACCTTATCGTGAACGCTTACATACCAAAGTTCGCGGTGCGTTATTGAGACTCCGCCCAATTCAATCTTCATCAACAGATATCTGCAGAGCATCGCGTCGTCTACGCCAGTAACGTAATGTGCCGACCATGTTTCTCGACTTTAATGCCTCGACATCAATCTGAGCGCCTGCGGCAGTAAACTCCCTTCCTGCGTCCGGTCGGAGCGCTCCACATGACCTTCCTCGGTGACCCGCCGGTAGCCGAGTGGCTGGCGCCGGGTTATAGGCCATCAGCGCGCGGTGTTGGGCAGCGGTATCGGGTCCGGGGCAGGCCGACATGCCGGTGCCGTGTCACGGGGAACGCTCCGCGCCGCGCCCCCTGCAGTAAACGGGCAACTTGCCGCTCACAGGTGAACTCGCTGGAGGCTGGTTAGAGTCGGTTATACGAGCTGGGACCTTAGCGACTGGTATATAAATGGCCCTCGAGCGATGTGAAACAAGACATCACCTCTGAGCGATATGAAACAAGGTATCACCTCTGAGTTTTGTGAAGCCAAACATGGATAGCTTGTATAAGTGAACTTGAAAATAGTTCGCGTGCATGATGTGAGTTGTGACCCTTTGTGTGAGTGCCGGGTACGCTCGATGGCCCTGGGCCATAGGTTCGCTCAATAACCCTCATACCCTCATGAGGCCATAGGTACCCTCATGTTTCCCTCAACCATTGGCGTCTTCAGTTAGCTCCTGATATCTCCTTTGAGGCACACCTTAGGTCTTCCTGCCCCTGGCTCAGCTCCACAAGTGACTCTACATATCTGACCTCTTGTTTCCACTGTGTTGTTTCCACAGGGAAGCAGTTGGGTAGGCCGGTGGACTGGATGGATTGTGATGTCTATATAGCTGACGTATGGTTTCTACTGTTTACAGGGAAGCAGCTGGGTAGGCCGGTGGACTGGATGGATTGTGATGTCTATGTATATAGCTGACGTATGGTTTCTACTGTTTACAGGGAGGCAGCTGGGTAAGCCGGTAAACTGGATAGATTGTGATGTCTATATAGCTGACGTATGGTTTCTACTGTTTACAGGGAAGCAGCTGGGTAAGCCGGTGGACTGGATGGACGCGGCCGGTCAGGAGCGCGCCCTCTGGGAGCAGCTGATCGAACGGCCCGGCTACTGGGTCGAGGGCTCCGTGCCGCTCCGCTTCTCCATGGAGCGCGCCGTCACCGCCGACAAGTGATGTGTGACGTCACCCCCCGGCGGCGGCAGCACGCGCTCTGACGTCACCGCCGGCCGCGGGTGACGTCAGACGCCGGATCTCTGGCGGCCGCCGCCCCCCGCGCGCACGCTCGCGCCCAACAGGCGGCCGCGCTCAGTCGCCGCGTGCCGCGCGCGTGTGCGCAAATGTATGCGTGTGTATGTTATGAGTGTTCTGTGACGTCAACGTCGGCGGCGGGCGCGATCATTGCGCCGCCGCCGCGATGTGATTCCTAGCCGGCGCCCCGGGACGTGTCTGTGATAGCCGCCGGCGGACGGGGCGCGGTGGCCGCACACGCCCGCGTCTCGACAGATAGAGACCGGCGCTTTGTGTGCAGGCGGTGCCCGGCGCCCCACACCGATATATGTCTATGTAATACACAGTATCGCCGTTAGAGGAGACTTAAGAGAGATGGGAATTGGGAGGGGAGGGAGATACGAAAAAACAGCTGTCATGGCGGGAACGTACTTGGTTTGAGGAGCATGCCAGCCTCTCTGCAATAACTGATCATTCTCAATAACTGTGTTATGGATTGTGGAATGCATTCAGCAGATTATAGGAGAGCGACACACTGACACGAGCTTATGAGGGACGCCGGACGCGAAAACGAATAGCTGTCAGACTCAGCAGTTCGGGACCTTGTAGACATCGCAATCGGGTCAAAGCGCGCGGTGCGCCATCTGTGGCCTGGCTCCTGGTTCACCGATCAGTTCCTGACAGGGTGGGCGCGTGGAACTTGAGACACCATGACACCCGAAGACGAAGAACAAGCTTCCAGAGTATTGAACGTTGACGCTGAGTACTGCTCTTGTTTTCTTTTGTTTCTTTTGTAGGGCTAGGATCTTTCGGTCTTAAGAAACATTTGCAAAGCCGGAAGGATACTAGGAATTAGAAGGAGACACTGGTCTGGTCGGGCACCCTGGTGCTCCGCCGGGGCTGAGCTCATCACGCGGACAGGCCACCCAGCTCAAGGCCGTATATAGACCCAGCCCCGCTAACGCTCACCGCACCGGACCGTGGACCTGACCCTGCGATGGAGGTACCCACCCACGTCGGATAGATATGACCGTTCAACCCGCATCAAGAGGCTTGCGGTGTGGAGGAGATGGACTTGACTGTGTTGAGGCTGGAAAAAAATACCGATCGGTGTACTTACGGATCTTGTGCTGTAGGATCGGTATATACCTAACCCAGCTGCGTAAGTAGCTACTAGCGCCACCTGTGAATACAATCTTTGAAGCACAGCGCCACCTAGTCCTAAGATTTACTATTGCGTGGACTGTATTGATTGAGTCAGCCAAAAGGTGGCAGCACCTGAAGGTCAAGAACAGGTCGAAAACGAGACATTATGGCCTAATTTTGCCGATGCATCAGTTTGAACATGTTTGATAAAAAATATTTAATTGAAAATTAGGCACCATGCATTCCGTAGCATTGACATGCGGAGGTTGCACGATCTGTTTGTTCATTCCTCAGCCAAGATGTGACAAGATCATGCACGACATACCTATTCAAGGTCTCCAGGGCTTATCAGTGTGTGTATATAGCTTTTGTGATTTATTATTAAAAAAGTATATTCGAAATCAGGTTTATCATTTCCCTAGACGGGCAAAGACTTATTATCATTACCCCTCACCAATGTCTTGTCCTTCCCTGTAACGACCCTACACCTCTTTTAAGTCAAAATTTTTAGCATTGAAGCACAAAATTGAAAGCAATTTTTCAAAGATCATCAAAATGCTTAGCTGAATATTAGAAAAAAACACATTTCCAGAAAAAATTTACCGTAGCGAAAATAATCAGCTGAAAGTTATTACCATTTGCCTTGGAAAGTGAAGCCGCGCTGCAATCGTCTCAGTCTTCAATTTGCGTCACCTTGAGCGCAAAGCGCAATGTTTCTACGTTTGTATAATTGCATGCAGATTGATATCAATCTCGTACATGCAGATTCCGGACCCTTTCAAATCGCCTCAAAATTGGCATGTAGACCAAACAGGACACGCTGATCACGAATCCGAAGTCCGTTCCGAGGCACATATGAAACTTTTCCCGTAATTGACGAATTACGGATCGGCATGCAGATTCCGGACCCTTTCAAATCGCCTCAAAATCGGCATGTAGACCAACCAGGACAGGCTGATCACGAATCCGAAGTCCGTTCCGCGGCACATATGAAACTTTTCCCGTAATTGACGAATTACGGATCTGCATGCAGATTCCGGACCCTTTCAAATCGCCTCAAAATCGGCATGTAGACCAAACAGGACACGCTGATCACGAATCTGAAGTCCGTTCCGCGGCACATCTGAAACTTTTCCCGTAATTGACAAATTACGGATCTGCATGCAGATTCCGGACCCTTTCAAAACGCCTCAAAATCGGCATGTAGACCAAACAGGACACGCTGATCACGAATCTGAAGTCCGTTCCGCGGCACATATGAAACTTTTCCCGTAATTGACGAATTACGGATCTGCATGCAGATTCCGGACCCTTTCAAAACGCCTCAAAATCGGCATGCAGACCAAAAAGGACACGCTGATCACGAATCTGAAGTCCGTTCCGCGGCACATATGAAACTTTTCCCGTAATTGACGAATTACGGATCGGCATGCAGATTCCGGACCCTTTCAAATCGCCTCAAAATCAGCATGTAGACCAAACAGGACACGCTGATCACGAATCCGAAGTCCGTTCCGCGGCACATATGAAACTTTTCCCGTAATTGACGAATTACGGATCTGCATGCAGATTCCGGACCCTTTCAAATCGCCTCAAAATCGGCATGTAGACCAAACAGGACACGCTGATCACGAATCCGAAGTCCGTTCCGAGGCACATATGAAACTTTTCCCGTAATTGACGAATTACGGATCTGCATGCAGATTCCGGACCCTTTCAAATCGCCTCAAAATCGGCATGTAGACCAAACAGGACACGCTGATCACGAATCCGAAGTCCGTTCCGCGGCACATATGAAACTTTTTCCGTAATTGACGAATTACGGATCGGCATGCAGATTCCGGACCCTTTCAAATCGCCTCACAATCAGCATGTAGACCAAACAGGACACGCTGATCACGAATCTGAAGTCCGTTCCGCGGCACATATGAAACTTTTCCCGTAATTGACGAATTACGGATCTGCATGCAGATTTGAAAGGGTCCGGAATCTGCATGCAGATCCGTAATTCGTCAATTACGGGAAAAGTTTCATATGTGCCGCGGAACGGACTTCGGATTCGTGATCAGCGTGTCCTGTTTGGTCTACATGCCGATTTTGAGGCGATTTGAAAGGGTCCGGAATCTGCATGCAGATCCGTAATTCGTCAATTACGGGAAAAGTTTCATATGTGCCGCGGAACGGACTTAGGATTCGTGATCAGCGTGTCCTGTTTGGTCTACATGCTGATTTTGAGGCGTTTTGAAAGGGTCCGGAATCTGCATGCAGATCAGTAATTTGTCAATTACGGGAAAAGTTTCATATGTGCCGCGGAACGGACTTCAGATTCGTGATCAGCGTGTCCTGTTTGGTCTACATGCTGATTTTGAGGCGATTTGAAAGGGTCCGGAATCTGCATGCAGATCCGTAATTCGTCAATTACGGGAAAAGTTTCATATGTGCCACGGAACGGACTTCAGATTCGTGATCAGCGTGTCCTGTTTGGTCTACATGCCGATTTTGAGGCGTTTTGAAAGGGTCCGGAATCTGCATGCAGATCCGTAATTTGTCAATTACGGGAAAGGTTTTATATGTGCCGCGGAACGGACTTCAGATTCGTGATCAGCGTGTCCTGTTTGGTCTACATGCTGATTTTGAGGCGATTTGAAAGGGTCCGGAATCTGCATGCAGATCCGTAATTTGTCAATTACGGGAAAAGTTTCATATGTGCCGCGGAACGGACTTCAGATTCGTGATCAGCGTGTCCTGTTTGGTCTACATGCTGATTTTGAGGCGATTTGAAAGGGTCCGGAATCTGCATGCCGATCCGCAATTCGTCAATTACGGGAAAAGTTTCATATGTGCCGCGGAACGGACTTCGGATTCGTGATCAGCGTGTCCTGTTTGGTCTACATGCCGATTTTGAGGCGATTTGAAAGGGTCCGGAATCTGCATGCAGATCCGTAATTCGTCAATTACGGGAAAAGTTTCCTATGTGCCGCGGAACGGACTTCGGATTCGTGATCAGCGTGTCCTGTTTGGTCTACATGCCGATTTTGAGGCGATTTGAAAGGGTCCGGAATCTGCATGCAGATCCGTAATTCGTCAATTACGGGAAAAGTTTCATATGTGCCGCGGAACGGACTTCGGATTCGTGATCAGCGTGTCCTGTTTGGTCTACATGCTTATTTTGAGGCGTTTTGAAAGGGTCCGGAATCTGCATGCAGATCAGTAATTTGTCAATTACGGGAAAAGTTTCATATGTGCCGCGGAACGGACTTCAGATTCGTGATCAGCGTGTCCTGTTTGGTCTACATGCTGATTTTGAGGCGATTTGAAAGGGTCCGGAATCTGCATGCAGATCCGTAATTCGTCAATTACGGGAAAAGTTTCATATGTGCCGCGGAACGGACTTCAGATTCGTGATCAGCGTGTCCTGTTTGGTCTACATGCCGATTTTGAGGCGTTTTGAAAGGGTCCGGAATCTGCATGCAGATCCGTAATTTGTCAATTACGGGAAAGGTTTTATATGTGCCGCGGAACGGACTTCAGATTCGTGATCAGCGTGTCCTGTTTGGTCTACATGCTGATTTTGAGGCGATTTGAAAGGGTCCGGAATCTGCATGCAGATCCGTAATTTGTCAATTACGGGAAAAGTTTCATATGTGCCGCGGAACGGACTTCAGATTCGTGATCAGCGTGTCCTGTTTGGTCTACATGCTGATTTTGAGGCGATTTGAAAGGGTCCGGAATCTGCATGCAGATCCGTAATTCGTCAATTACGGGAAAAGTTTCATATGTGCCGCGGAACGGACTTCGGATTCGTGATCAGCGTGTCCTGTTTGGTCTTCATGCCGATTTTGAGGCGATTTGAAAGGGTCCGGAATCTGCATGCAGATCCGTAATTCGTCAATTACGGGAAAAGTTTCATATGTGCCGCGGAACGGACTTCAGATTCGTGATCAGCGTGTCCTGTTTGGTCTACATGCTGATTTTGAGGCGATTTGAAAGGGTCCGGAATCTGCATGTACGAGATTGATATCAATCTGCATGCAATTATACAAACGTAATGTTTCTGTGCGTGAATTTGTGAGATCTGTGAGGTTCGGGTGGGGTTCCGTGTACAGTTTTGTAAATAATTGATTGTACCATTATTGTGCCAGTGATCAGTGGACGCAAGTTGAAAAATAATTGGTCAATAAGTGATTGTTTCACTGTGCCTTGAAGACATGGCTTGCTAATCTTTATCTACGATAAAGAGTAAGTAGAAGTAGAAAGTGCGTTGCCTCTTCGTCAGTTGGCACTGCTCGAGCCCTGCCAGCTGAAGTTCGAGATGATTTATTGCTGTCACATGAATTGATATGTTTTGATTGTTAACCTCGTGTAAATGCTTGAAGTTGACATGATAATCTCATTTTTCAATAAGAAGTATTTGCTAGCGGATCCTTGTGTTGGAAGGATCGGTTCCATCTTTTTTTTGCGGGTAGTTGCTTCAGAGGCCAGTTTGGCTAACAGAAAATAATTGGTTACATCTGTTTTAAGCTGGTTTTAGGCTTCACCAACCTCACAAATGATTATCTTGGTAAGAGTCACCCTTTTCGCCCTAGGCTAAAAATTAAATGAAAACCACACCATTTTGTTACTAACCATATGATAACCCAGAAAATTGCATATCTTTTCCCTATCATTTATCGTAAAAAGCAGGTACACTACACGCAGAACTACCACAACCTAAAATAATGATAGCCAGGCCTAACCTAACATAACTTAACCTTACCTGACTCAATGGGGTGGTCAGATGTAACTTACTCATCAATGTTTGTGTAAAAAGGATTGCAAGCATCGGTGTGTGGTGTCACTTTTCAAGCTTAGAAAGATGTGCTCTTCTCTTTCATTTTTTTATTTTGTGAAACTATAGTTCTTAAAGGGACCCTCCCACCTTAATTAACATTAGTTTTGAGTTGAGATAGCCAAGTTTGCAGCCAGGCTCAGAAACAAGTTTGACAAGTTTCCTTTTTGGTTCATTTTGCAGATTTATAACTTATTTCAACTTGGCATGTTTTAACACAAAGTGCCTAGCTTTTCTATATAGATGTCTGAATATGAATACAGATGATATTAAAAAGAAAAATAGTGTGCAAACCATTGCCAACTTTTCCTAATGATTTGACTTACATGACTTGAATATTTCTTTCATCATTTGATCTCCTTCCACTTTCCAGAGAATGGGGGTGGAAGTTGGTACTGAGAGTGATTATGGCAGTGTTTTGGATGCATATACATTTATTGGCATGTAGCAATCTTCTCTTTTTTGAAGCACCAAGTGACCTCTGCATTATAATATTGTTTAGGTCGTCGATCAATGTCCTGAAACAATACTTTTTTCCGTGCCAACTCAGAGCAGGATAGTTATGTACCTATGTCCATGATTATGGGCGCCGATGTCCTCTGAAGTCCGGGCGCCCAAAAATCACACGCCATCATCATATGTCCATGACCTCAGAGACAGAATCTTCAACCATTTGCCCCACAGGTCATCCCCGTTTAGAGTGCACTCATCTGAACCTTCTGCTGCCACCAGGTGACTGTGGGCCAGCGGGGCTGCGCCGGCACCTGGTCTCCGTCGAGCCGTGACCGAGCCGCTGCCACTGCAGCCGCGGGTGCCCAGCCGGCGGCGCCGTCCGATGGGCGTCAGTAGGTCGTCGCCGCGCCGCTCCCGCCGCCAGCCGGGCGCGTGACGCCGCCGCCGCCGCCCCCGCCCCGGCCGCCAACACGTCTCACTTCGGCATCGCGGCGTCCCGCTACTTCGGCGGAGGGCCGGGCGCCGCGCCGCGAGCCATGCAGAAGACGGGCAAGGAGAAGACCCCGGCGGCGGAGGAGGGCGCCCGCCGCGCCGCCCGCCTGCCCTCCTCCAGCCGGGCCACCGTGCAGAGCACCGGCTCGCGCCAGTCCAGCTCCAGCTCTGGAGGTGTGCTCATGGTCGGATCCAACTTCAGGGTCGGCAAAAAGATCGGCTGCGGCAACTTTGGCGAGCTGCGCCTGGGCAAGAACATGTACAATGGCGAACATGTCGCCATCAAGCTGGTGAGTGGGGCGATTGGGTTGTTGGAGGGGTGGTGCGGGATGTATCGTCCATGTTTGGCTTCAAATGTGGGCTTCGTAGATCTATAGGCTGTTTGCCATTGCAGATATATAAGTTGTAGATACTCTTGACCCCACCATTGAGTGAATACACTTCACTCACTTCTCATCATTTGCCTCGTAACTACACTACCAGCTGTTTTTACTTTAATGTTTTTTTTAGCTTAAATCTTCTTGGCTACCATCCTCACTCAGCTTTATGCATCCTTGTTTCGATGTAGTTGGGATCAAGCATCTGCCGCCGTTCTTTCTGTGCAGCTGGCCCAGGCTCCGGTCTGTGCAGTGTGCACAGCGTAACGTTTTAGACTGTAAGCTATCTCTTTGTACTGTTGCCTCCATTAGGTTCTTGTGTACTGTAATCCTTTTTTGTTCGGTTTTATCTAGCGGAACAACGCTCTTTCCCTTGACCTAATCATTATTGATCCTTTTTACTGCTCTGTGTTGTATCGGTTCTTTGTGTGACGTTTAACTGTGTCTCCCTTACTTGTCTATGTCGTGATGCACAACTGACCATTGACAACACCATGCATGCAGTTTTTCATTTTATCTTTCTTATCGGATACGCGATCAAAAACCGATTGCCGTCCTGTCACATCGCTCGCATTTATTCCTTTTCCGCTTCTTTCGCTCGAGTCGTGTATCTACCGACCCGAGCATCAGGACCCGAGACTACTTTGCCGTTCATGCTTTGAGCCATCCGTTCTTGGCTCCATGTCACGCACGCTGTGGCCGACTGAACTGAAGGTCTGACCCTCAGTAGCCTTGTTGAACAATGGACACTTCGGTAGCCGCTGACATCTGTGATGCCCATCGTCACGGTTTGGTCGACATGACGCAAGCCGCTGACCGTCGGGGTATCGGTGGGACTCGCCGTTCGCTGCCGGGCACGCCATCCGCGCCGGATCGCTGCCGATGGCGTCATGGTTTGGATGACGCCATTCGGGAGATTCTGTAGTATCACAATTCGAACTCGCTGGTATCGGCTCTCTTCCCGTCTAGCCCGTTCCGTCACGGGGATGGTTTGCCCATGGCTGTCGTCAACCCAGCCTCTGCCGCAGCAGGCTAGGTTAGTCTGCCCGATGGACACTGGTCCCTTTGTCCCGAAGGTATGGCCTTCACCAGCACTCAGAAGTGATATTGCTGAGTGGTTTTACGCATATTGCATGCGATTATCTGCATATTAATCATTTGAATGGGTTCTACCATCTTCCGCGCATCGTACGCTGTCTCGACATGCCAGCATCCAGTATGGTCCCCCCCGTTCCAGTACCGTTTCGGATTTCGCATTGTCTGCCGCTGCCAGTTGCCGTTTTTCTGTGTTGACGCCGCCGCGCTCTGTGCCTCTCGCCTGTGCCGTCGCTGTGAGCCGCCCCAGGCTACTGTCGCGTGGCGCACGGTCCCCGGCACGGGCGGCTGGCTCACTTTCGAGACCACTTTGCCGGAAATTCGGCGGTGCGGGACAGTGGTGGTGTTTCGTCACAGGTTCCCTGGCCCCGCAGGGCTGTGACTGACTGAATGGCGGAGCTATTACTGAATGGCTGAGCTATTACCGAATGGCGGTGGCAGTGCCTGTGACTGACTGTGACCGAGTGGGAATGTACAGCCCTCTGCAAACTGCGTGGTAGGTATTCTTTTTTCGACAAAACCGAGAATAACGAGAATACTATGCTATCGGTCACTTGAAAATCGTAACAGCAAGAGGCGCGAGGCACCACACCTTAGATTGGCATTATCATCGTATGCATTTTCCATCCAGTTTAGCAACAAAACCCAAAAGTTTATATTTGCCCCCAAAACAAACTTTTGCATTTTGGTGCCATACAAGCCGTATAGTTTGTTTAGTGACAGACTCAATCGAAGGAGTGGAGCATGGCGCATCTACTTGCAGTGAGTTTCGACCGACTGTTGACATAGCCTTTGAGTAATTATCGGTTTTGTCGAAAAAAATACCTACCACGCAGTCTGCTGAGGGCTGTACCTGTGACTGTGACTGACTGACTGACTGACTGGCTGGCTGACTGTGGCTGTGATAGAGATCGCAACGGTGGCTGTATGTGTGACTGACGTGCTTGGCTGTTTACTGTGATTGTGACTGCCTGCGTGCTGTTTGGCGGGGATGTGCGCTGTGCAACTGTACCCACTGTGGGCTGCAAGGGAATGGCGGCGGTGAAATACGCTGTGGTTGGTGCGGTATGCGAGATGGATGTAACGGCTGAGGTGGAAAAATGTAGCTTGAATTGTTGGTGCTGTGAGTGCGGGGGTGAATGTGGTGCAGTAATGGACGGGAGGGCAGCGGATAGCCACTACTGTCTGCAAATGGACGTTCAGGTATTTCATTCCACTCATGATAGCACGGTAGATCGATAATGCTTCGATTCCGCTGATTGGATTCGGCAACAGTGGAATGAACTGAGGTGAAAGAAAATCGTCATCTTCTTCCCTCTCTCCGTCTCCATCATCTGTGTCTCGCCAGCCACATCTCCATCGCTCGCTACTGACTGTGTCTCTGTAGTGTCTGCACGCTGGCACCCAGACTCTGCCCGGCGGCAGTGGGGCGGGCGTAACCCAACCATCCGACGCTAACACCTGTCCGCGTGGGTTACCCCGTGTCAGCGGGGCTGTCGTCGGGGCTGGTGCTCTCACTGATTGATGCCGAGACCAGCGTTGGTCCGGTCATGTCACGACTCACGACTCTGCCGATCGGTGTTTGGTTTCGTTATCACACTGCCGCCACTGCCGGCTCCATATCCCCGCGCGGCTCCACGCTGGCAGCGCCGGTGGTCAAGGCTCAAGGCCAGCTCGCCGGTCGGCTGGCCGGCTGGCCGCTCGCCGCTGATCACGGCCTAATCGAGACCCGTGTGTGCCGGCCATGTCGACGCGCGGGTGGGGGAGGGATGGCGGCGCCGCGCCGACCCCGGACAGCCCGATTAGATGCTGAGTTTGTCCAAGATAAGCCGCACTGTGGCGGCGCACGGTGGGTATCACGGGGACAGGTGGGCCTGCGCCATGTGATAGGTATCGCCAGAGGACTTTTAAAGGGACGAACACTGGATAGGTTCGAAAGTTTGTTGATAGGAGAGGGGAAATTGCGGACTTTTGGATATAAAAATGATTGAAGAATATGGTGCGGGTGTTTTGTAATTGGCTGGACTGCAGATGTTATGGTGTGGTATGATTGTGTTTCACTCAAGCGCTCCTTATCAACTATCATGACATTTGACCGTTCTGATATACACCTTTAGTGATATAACATTACCCGGAATTCAGGTGCAGTGTCACGCGACACAAACACTGGTTGTATTTCCAGGAAACATGGTCAGGTGTGGTGCCGTTTTCACATGGTGACAGTGATCCACAGTCAGAGGACGTTCCCCACTGACATTGTCAATGTATCATGTGTCACCAACCTGTCAGCGTTGATTGTCTTCTGTCGTTTGACTGTCATTTGTCTGTCATTATGTCAGGTTCAAGTTCCGCTCCGTCAGGTTATGTCACGGCTCATTTTGTCACAATTCTGTCACGATTACGGCATCCGTTTTTTGTTTTTTGTTTTTGCGCTACTGTTGATACGGTTATCTGTGACTATGTTTTTTGGTGATCGTAACTTGTGATTGTTCTTGTGAAACGCAGAAGGATACCAACCGTACTTACATTACTGAGTAGCACTTTTCCGCACGGCGTGCAAGGCGATATTTTGTTCTGACTCGGCTCTCTCGTGTCCGAATCATGCTGGTGCCTCGGACAGTGTCCCGTTCCATATCGATGCTGGATGTGTTCCACTGCCAACATCGGCTATTGCTTGTCTTTGATATGCTCAGAATTACCGTGGTAGTCATTCGTACCGCCTTTGCTTTGGCAGCACGAAGCCCCGTCCAGCAGCCAGGAATGCGCTGTTGTCCGCTGATTCCAGTTGGCATTACTCTCGGCAGTGATGCAATGGCATTAGATAGACGGTGACTCGTGAAGTTTCCCCGACCCGTGATTTTGGCCGGTGATCTACGACCCATGATATGTAACCTTTGACTCATGACCGGTCACCCTTATTCACATAGGAGGCTCTACTGTTAGATTTTTCACAGTGCAGGCCAACGCTTCAGTGCTGTTTGATGAGTGTCGTTTGGATTTGTTCACCCCGCGCTGCTAGAAGTCCCCTCTGACATCCCCTCCCTCTGTCTCTCAGGAACCGATGAAGTCCAAGGCGCCGCAGCTGCACCTTGAGTACCGGTTTTACCGTCAGCTGGGCACTCACGGTAGGTCACGGATCCCCCCTCCCCAGAGTCCCTCCCCGTGGACACCGGCCGGGCCGGTGCGATACTGCCTCGTTCGTCGCCCTCGCTGTCGATTCGGAGTGTAACTTACGCCGACTGCTGTCGGCGAGGTATTATGGGCCAGCGGTGGTGCTAAGTTCCCCTGGACCGGCGACCGCATCGACCGCAGTGCCGGCGGACGGGTTTTACGTGGCCGGACCGGACCTTCGTAGCTGCGCCGTGTGGTAGAATCGCTGCACGCAGTGGTGGCCAGAGCTGTGTTACGAGTTGTCGGTTCCCTCGAGCTACGAGTTGTCCGTTCCCTTGGGCGTGGGGGGGGGGGGGAGGTGGTAGAGTCAAAGGATAGGTGCATGCTAGTGGTTACTTGCCTTTCAGGGAGAGGGGAAGGGTGATTTCTTTTACATAGTTACAAGACCATGTGATATGATAAAGGGGAGACGTGAGGTTGGTTCGACCACCGGCGGATGCGCTACTGCAGCTGAGCCCGTCTCGGACATGCACGCCCCGGCGAGCCAGGCCACCCAGTCGCTCAACCTGTCACCCTTTTGGGACAAACTCTCATCAGAGCTGCCCTCGCCGGCTGTTTGTATCAGGGAACTGTGATGCAGGATGTGGATAGGCTGCTCGTGACGATAGAATGCCCGATCAAAGCATGTGGCCTTGTCGCTCCGTGGTTGCTACGAGTAGTGTGGGGGTTCGGATTAGCACTTGGTCCCCTGGATAGTGTTTATTCCAAGTTTCATTTGTTATCTTCGAAGGTGGTGCGTACGCAGGCTTATTCCACCTAAGCAGCACACGCTGGCACAGAGCCGGCGACACTTCCTGATTACCCAGTTGGATTTGCGCCAGCCTCTTCAGAGATCCTCTCGTCTACTCACAACCGACATGTTTTTTGCCGGTCTTTTTTCACTCATCAGATTACGCCACCATCGCTCTGGGTACGATGGCTGGCCAGGGCAGTGTCCGGGCGGACGACAGCGCCTCCCACCCCTCCCCAGGCCCGCTGCCAGTGCGGTCATTTGGCTGGTCGCCCGGCTGATCCACTGGGGATTAGCCCGCGGTGCTCCGTAGGTACCCCGGTCCGTACCCCGCTATCGTCGGTCTGTCCGTGTCCTATCAGGCCGGCCGAGCGAGCTACCACGCTGACGGCACGGGACCAAGCCGAGCGGAGAGGAAAGCGGCGATAGCTGAGGCTGAGAGACGAGTTAGAACCGATAGGCGATGGCTAAGAGCCGAGAGCAGCGAGCTGAGGGCCGAGGGCTGAGAGAGCTGAGAGCTGATAACCGAGAGTGGAGCTGGGTCAGCGCAGAGCCGAGAGCTGCCCGAGCTGCGGGCCAAGAGCTGCGAGCTGCGGGCTCTGAGCTGATAACACTGTGGAGCTGGGTCAGCCCCGCCCAGCTCTGTGCCGAGTGGTCAGCTGATGGGCGCGGCCCACGCGCCCAGCTGCACATACGTGTGCGTTGAGTGGGCGGTAATGCGTGCGCACACGCTCACACGCCACCTGCCGCAGGTCGATGTCGAACGGCGTATGTGGGACAGAGCAGAGGCGCGACCATGGACAATGGACTGATGGCACATGACGTGTGTTACTTCGTTGCCTGTACGCCATAGAGAAGACAGGTTGCGGCTCTGTTTAGCCCATTCGTTCGTTATCCCTCGTTTTTTTCTCCTCTCCCTCCCCCCCTCTCCCTCTACCTCTCCCTCTCCCTCTCACTCTCACTCTCCCTCTCACTCTCACTCTCACTCCCTCTCCCTCTCCCTCTCCCTCTCCCTCTCCCTTTCCGTCTCCCTCTCCCTCTCCCTCTCCCTTTCCCTTTCCCCTCTCTCTCTCTCTCTCTCTCTCTCTCTCTCTCTCTCTCTCTCTCTCTCTCTCTCTCTCTCTCTCTCTTCCACGCTGTCAGCCACTCCTTGATCATCGTAACAGCCACGTGACTGGCCCTGTGACGTCACGAAATCTCGTCTGATTGGCTCAGAGGCTGAGAAGTGGCTGATCTTGGCGACAGCTATGAATTTTGGAATCCGGATGTAGGGCGCTCTTGAATGAAATTGTCTCAGCGTCTTGTGATGTCGAGACTCTTGGACGCTGTTGCATTTCATGAAAGCGGCATGGTTTATTTTATTTATTAATGTTAGAGTCCAGGACTCCATAGGATATAATCGTACCTTCTGATATGCCATTGGTATTTTAATGTTTTATGCTATTCAATGAAGAGACGCGACAATGGAATCTTCTGGCGTGAGCAATATGCGACCTTTCGTTCAGGACGCGAACGGCCTAGATAGCCCATAACGCAGTTTTCCATTCACGCGGAGCATCCCCTGCCGCTGCCGCCATCATTCTCTGACCGCCCTTGACCCAGTTTCGCCCCGCCCACCGACCGACCCGGTGCTGACTGGAAAGCCGGACGAGCGTTTTGTACGAGCGCAGCCACCGCCCTGCCAACCGACGGTGAAGCGCGCGGATTAGTGACGGTGAATTGATTTGGGTCAGGATTAGTTACACCAATCTTGCGGCGTTTTTCGAATATGGAATATACATTGACACATTTGGGCTAATTCGGAGGAGTTTCCAGTCTACCTCATTCATAAATCTTATTCGTCTTGCTAGCATGCAACAGTACCTCCGAACACGCTGTTTTCGCCCATAAGCAGCCAACCTCGCGTGCCGCTGGACGGGACGGAACGCGAGGATGCTCCGTCGCTCCATATACACACTGTCCTCCCCACTCTACCCGCTCTGCTCCGTTGCTCTGCCCTCCGCCTCCCACTGCGCCAGCATATCTCGGTCCGCGGCTGGCCGAGGCAGGAGTCGTGCGGCGGCGGCTCACATCTGCTCCCCTCCCTCCCCAGTCGACCGCAGCTCGTAAATCGGAACAGTGCGTGTGCGCTGGGCGGTTGGTACGCCGGGCGGGCGGCATCTGAGTCAGCCCGGGCGGCTGGCGACGGGTGGTTTCGAACGGTTTCGAGTCAGTCGGATATATCGTGGGATGTCGTGAGATTCATTAGAAACAGCGATAAAAGCAATGTTGAGCAGTATCAGTAGAGAAGGTCGGCTGCAGCGGTACCGGATCATGTACTCGAGTTCTTCGATAGCGTAGTCGTGATCGAATAGCAACACTAGTGGCAAGTTTTATTGAACGATACATACAATGTGAAATGTCAGACTCAGTCAGATGGATGGGGCTCGCAACCCGCATCGCATATTTGCATGCATCACATTTTGAGCTCCTAGCCACCTTTCCGACCAAGGCCGCCCTATCCCCATCCCTCCCCTTCTGCTGTGGCGCTTTGTCTCCTGCCGAACTCCTGCCGCTCAGTCGTGCCGTGCTGGCCGGCCGTGAATCTCTCTGTGACGTCGTGACAGCGTCACGGCGTGCCAGGAACCCGCCGACCGTGACGGAGGTCCCGGCCACGCCCTTTGACACTTCCAGCCGGCCGGCGGGAGCCTGTCTGCCAGTCCGTCTGTCGGTCGGTCCTCTGTTGTGGTGGCTCTGTTTGGTTGGTATTTTGTTGCACCGGCCATGATGAGCGTTTGCTACTGTCCTGTCTCTGATCATCTTCAGTCGAGCTAGGCACAGCGTTTCCTTTGACTTGAACCGCCGCGTCTGGCTACGGACTGTATGACGGCCATATACGGATGGAGGGGCGCGGGAGCGCAGGTGGCGTGTTAGAACACCGTCGCCGCTGCTGGCAGTCCGCCCCCACCCAGCCCCGCTCCCACCCCCGCCCCGCCCGTGCCGTCCAGCCCGGCCCAGGTCGGCGGACCGGAGGGTAGCACCCTCGGACGGGAGACGACCTTTGCAACTGACGTGCCCGGCCACATACCAGGCTGTGACGGCTTCCGGGCCGCCCGCGCAGGCTGAGTCGGGTTGCCAGTGACTGGACCAAGTTGGAAGTTTACCTGTTCATCTGGGAATTTTCAAGCGGAGAAGTTTGCGATTGAATGCTGCATGCTGCCTTGGGATTCAGGGTTGTGGAGGATATGACACTGGATTGACTGAACGCTCATTTTCCAATGAAGCGCTTCCAACTGAATAAATAGGTAACTCGTCAACTGCCAGATAAATAAGTAACTCGCCAACTGCCAGATAAATAGGTAAATCGTAAAATGTCGCGTCCTACACACAGAAAAATATTAACACCGTTAGCGGTGTAATTGCACAGTACATATCTGAGCACTTGAGGAAAGTTAATTTAGTCCCTTCCCCGCTTAAATTACTCGCGCTTCCAAATGAACACCAGGAAGAAGGTAATAGAACACTGTTAGGAGGGTTGGGTGTTTTGCTACATGTAGTAAAACACCCAACCCTCCTAACAGTGTTCTATTACCTTCTTCCTGGTGTTCATTTGGAAGCGCGAGTAATTTAAGCGGGGAAGGGACTAAATTAAGTTTCCTCAAGTGCTCAGATATGTACTGTGCAATTACACCGCTAACGGTGTCAATATGTTTCTGTGTGTATGATACATTAATTGGCGTAACATTTCTGGAATTTTCAATTATTGTTCCGCCTTCGATTTTTTTTTCGTTGGTTTATGAAAGAGCTACATACCGTACCTTGATGCCCTATCGGAGTAACGGTGTCTGTCAATCTAATCTGAGTCGTTACCGTCACAGCCTCAAGGCGGAATGGCCCCGGTTCGGACCCATCACCGATGACGCTGAAGGATGAAATACGCATAAAGCAGAACAGTACACAAGTTAGCTTATGTCCCTCACACCCTTTCGGACGAGATTGTTCGTCTGTCTGCCTATTGGCACCAATGCCGTAATCGCCAGCCACTGCCACCATCCAAAGCCCTTCACCACCGCCCGCCGCCCGCCGCCACCGTCCGCGGCGGCGGCCTCCCGTCGCGGGCAGACCGCCGCGTCAGCACGCGGACCGGAAGTCTCGGCTGCCGCCGGCCGCGCTCTGTTCTCACGCCGGCCGGCACTGCTGACGATGGACGACGCTGGGTGGTAGACCTGACGCCGGCGGCAAGCC